CACCCGAACCTGCGCCCTGCACCTGCTGCACCTGTGCCTACACCTGCTGCACCTGCGTCTACACCTGCTGCGCGCTCTGCTTGCAGTTGACGTACTTCAACTTCAACTTCAATGAGGGTTAGGACGTCAGTTCACATGCCTTATCGTATAAAGCATTCCGGTAAAGCTGAAATATAAGTCAGCATGTAGAAGCATAGCTATTTTCGTTTTCTTCTTCCTCGCAATCTTCTGCATTTTAGCTCCAACGGAATGCTTTTTTACGATGTCCATATATGTTCCTAGAATTTCTCTTAGATGGGTAGTTATATAATACGTACTTATCGAAATACGGTACCAGGAGACTCGTGAATCAGTAGAGTCAGTGCGTGGGGTTTGCGCACCTTGGGTTTGGGTGAAGGTGATCGCGAGCGCTTCTTCCAGTGTGTGTGTGTGTGGGGGGGGTGGGGTAAGAGGGTTTGGAGTCTTATTACCTTCACGCGAACAGCCTAGCAGCTGTCGTGGGCAGTCAGTTTCTCTCCGGCTCGACGTTTTCCTAATTTCTCTGAAAGGCAGTGACTGCCAAGGACCATTGTGATCCTTGGTGACTGCTGCTGCTGACGGTGCAGCGCCTGTGCTAAAGTGTTTTCGGCGTCACGTCTCTGTCCCCCCGAGCTTTATGGGTGCGGGTAGGCAACCCGAGGCCCGCGCTGTGCGTGCACTCTGCGCATGGTTCTTGTATTTGCTTCCTAGATTAACTCCTTTGTCGTGTGTGTGCTTCCAGGTTTAGGCCGATCGCTGCTCTGTAGGCTAGACGAGCTGCACCCCCGAACAGAAGCGATGCCTCCGCCGGTCCTGGAGCTCGGGCAGGACGAGGCTGGAGAGGGTGCGACCAGCGCCTTCGTGGAGGCCCTGCGCCAGTGGGCCGCTAAGAAGCTCCAGGAGGGCCAGGGTGCGCAGGGCAAGCAGGGCGGCGGCGGCCGCACCGGCCTACTGGGCGCCGGACGACAGAAAGGCCAGTCGCGCACCGGCCTACAGGACGCCGGACAAGCAGCAAGCCAGCCCCGCACCGGCCTGCAGGACGCCGAACAGGGAAGCCAGCCGCGCACCGGCCTACAGGACGCCGGACAAGCAGGAAGCCAGCCCCGCACCGGCCTACAGGATGCCGAACAGGGAAG